GTGAGTTTGGAAATGGGAAATGGAAAAAACTCTTTACTGAAAGAGTGGTTAAAGATTGGAACAGGCTGCCCAGGGAAGTGGTTGAGTCACCATCCCTGGAGGTATTTAAAAGACGGGTAGATGAGGCACTTAGGGACATGGTTTAGTGGGCATGGGGGTGTTGGGTCGACGGTTGGACTCGATGATCTTGGAGGTCTCTTCCAACCTTCATGATTCTATGATTCTATGAACTTGGATTTTTAAAAGTAGTAAAATGTGCTGCAGCTAACACATACCTACTTGACAGAGATGTTAACCATGTTCACTTACTTACCTGCTCAGCATCCCTCGTCTCTCTAAAGTGGCAAGGCCACTCTGATGGGTTCTGTACCCAGAGAAAATAGATTTTGGGGTGAGATGAATTCCTGGTGGAATTGTTCATCAGAATGTATGGGAATATCCAGAGGGCAGATTTAATCGTGACAAAACACTTGTCTGTGTGGGAAAATTTGCTGATCTGAATTACTCTGCCGTTACTCTGCCAGCGCTTCCCCTCTCTCAGGTGCTCCCCTGGAATCATAATTCCAGAACGAAGCTACGTGGGTGTCATTGGGGCGGTTATTTCCTCGTGCAGATGATCCCTGAACACCAGAATGCAACCCCGTACCTAGGTTAGATATGGGTTGCACCATATGAGGTTTAATGCCCTCCTTCTGTCAGAGGAAGATAAAGTCTCGTACTGCTCCGTTTTCTATGAATTCATAGCAGCGTTTGGCTTCCTGGAAAGTCAACCTACAAATAGGCAGCGTGGGCAAATACAGCTGCAGAGACCTACGGAGGGCACAGCGTGGCGGGCAGGCTCGCTGCAAAGCGTTTGGCTGCTGCTCAGTGAAATAAATCATCAAACGCATGAGGTTGTCTGCTTCAGCTGGAAGGGGATGCTGTCTTCAGCTCCTCTTTCTGCTCGCTGTTGCCCACGATAGCTTCCACCTAATGTGCAAGCGTGCGTGGCACTGCCACGTTGTGCAAACTGATAATTCGGCCTCGGTTCGTCTCCTCCCAGGGGGCACCAGGGCAGGTGCAGCCCTAGGAAACCCCTCGACCAGCGCTGCTGCTGTTCGGTGCTGGTCGGAGGGATGCTGACCTGCGTCGGCGTAGGTGCTGGAGCAGGTCGGGTTCTGGGACGGCCCCGTTCAGGGTGCAGCATAATGGTTTGATTCTTTTAAGGGCCTCGTCCTGCCACGTGCTGGATGCTGAGCAGAGGGTGGTTGGGAAATGGCTGGAGCAGGCGTGATACGGTGAAGTTCTTGCTGGTGGCAGGGCTGGGAGAGCAAATGACTCACCTGCGCCAGCCTTGTTCCCATGGTGGTTTAAGACCTGACATGAATGACGTGAAGGTGGGGGAAGGCCGGGCAAGGAGGGGCACCCGCAGGTAGAAACTCGGTCTCCTGGGGAGCAGGTGACTCAGCTGGGCATCAGCCTCGTCTCTTTGCCCAGCGGATTAACAGAGAGGGAAACACTTGCGCAGTTACTCAGCACTCGCACCGGGTCTGCAGACCCGCTGAGGGGTCTCGCGGGGGGGACTGTGCGGGCAGGGCGAGCGGTGCTGGGTGCTGTCAGCCCGCGGGTCTGCAGTGGAGCAGACCCCCGGCGGGTGCAGGCGTCCTCCGGGCCAGCCTGGCTCTAACCCTGGGCTGCAGCTCGCTGGGTTTGTGCTGTGGCACGAGGGCAGCTGGGCAGCCCCTTAATTCACAGCAAAACCAAATCGGGGCATGGCCGTGCTCACCTCTAATGCCTGGTGCCACCTCCCGCGGCTGCTCCAAAAGCGCTTGGTTAATGACTTGGGCTGTATCGGAGGAAAGGGATTTCCCCTGCCCAGCCCTCTCCGGTCCTCCTCGTTCCCGTATTACCGGCTTTGCAGGTTTTCTGCAAACAGCCCTGCCGTCCTTGCGCAGGCTCTTGACTCGCCCTGGCTGGGGGGAGAAGTCAGGTCCTCCTCACCTGCAGTGGGAGTGGGAAGGGACGGGGCTCAGACTTGGGTCTCTCCCAAAAGATGGGATGAACCGAACCTGCCGAGTTCTGTTTCGTGGGGATTCAGGCCAGGGTCAGAGTAAGATGAGCAGCGCCTTCTCTGACTCTGCAGGACTTCCAGTGCAAGGGTGGAGACGTGTCTGGGGAAATCTGGGCTTTGATGAGTCTCTGCATTGTTCTGGCCCTGGCTCAAGAGGGGAGGCTGCGGGGAGCTGCTGTGCTGGCACCTAGCCCGAGCCCCCAGCACCCTGTCACCCCGGGGGAGCAGACTGGGTCTCCGATGGCCGTGACCTCTCCAGGCGGTCCAGGCAGGGGCCACTGAGCCGGCGCTCACCGTGTGGCTTCTCTTGCAGGCTCGCAGGAGATTCACATCGATGAGAAAACTGTCAGCCCCAACCTCAGCCTGTCAGAAGACAGGAAAACCCTGACCTTCAGCCCCAAGAAAGCAAAGGTGGACTTGGACTGCCTTGAGCGATTTGACCACTGGCCCAATGCTTTGGCCACTGCGGCTTTCCAGTCGGGAGTCTGCGCGTGGAAGATCAGCGTGGAGAAGAGCTGCGCGGGTTTGCTAGCTCCCTGCCGCGGAAGGGGTCTGGCAACGAAGCCCGCCTGGGCTTCAACACTGCCTCCTGGGTCTTCTCGCGCTACGACAAGGAGTTCAGGTTCCTGCACGCCGGTCACCCGCAGGCGGTGGAGCTGATCAAGTCTCCGGCCGAGATCGGGGTGCTGGTTGACTTTGCGGGAGGGGAGGTCCTCTTTTACGACCCCGATTCCTGCACCATCCTCTTCTCCCACAGGGAGACCTTCGCGGAGCCCCTCTATCCCGTCTTTGCTGTGGCGCACCAGAGCATCTCGCTTGTCCAGTGAGCGAAGCGTTGCGCTCGCTGGGGGCGGGGGTGAATATACAATTGTATATACAGTGACTGTATATACACTATACAGTACCTTGATGGGGGGGAAGGAGCCCAGACAGGGCTACTGGCTTTTTTTTGGGGGGGTTGTCACAAGACCTGCCTTCAGACTACACTTCGCGTGTTTACGGCAGGTTTCCTCTCCTCCTGGAGGCTGCACCCACCCTGCGTCTGCCGAGCCAGGATGAGGGGCCAGGGTAACGCCTGGCTCTGCCAGCTGCTTTTAGGCAAATCATTTAATTCCTCTCCTACCAAGGGCAGCTTTCCAGCCTGACGGTGGGCTTTAGAAAACGGGAGAAATATTAAGAGATGCGTTTGGAGAAACGGCAGGGAGGAGGCACGTGGAAAGGGACATCACTGGGACACAGCTGGAGACACACTTTTGGGAGGAACCACCCTATGCCAGAGCAGGGACAGTGCGAGGGGCTGTCACCCGTGACCCTGTGGGGGACCCACGCCAGGGCAGGGGCAACCCTGAGGGGCTGCGGCCCACAGAGGAGCCCATGTCAGAGCAGAGGAGCAAGAAGCAAGGAGCAGCAGAAAGAAACTGAACCTGAGCTGCTCCTTGCCTTGCCAAAGGGAGCAGGAGGTCGAGTGTAACGTGGTGAAAACACGGGGAGCTGATGTTAGGCAGGGAGGAAGGAGAGGTGTTGGACTGAAGTTGAGCCAGGGAGAAAGGCAGGAAAGGTGTTTCCCTAACTGTTTAGAATTCGTCATCTTTATTTCTCAATACCCAAATCAGTAAAGCTTGCTAACTGGCACTATGTTAAGTGAAACTGCCCAGCTCCAGACTGTTTTGCCCACAGCAGGAGGCCTGCAACTGCCTCCTGGCCACTGCTGCCAGGAAGAGGGGGATGCTGGTGAGGTGGCAAACCTGGGGTACACCGAGGCACGCAGGGCCTGCGCGCGGGTCTCCTGGGTGCTCTGTGCGGGCGGACCTTCCCTGGGACGGGACCAACCCCAGCTCTGCCGATGCGCTTGCACAGGGGGATGCTCGAGCCTCTCCCCGGGGTGACCGAGAGGGGACAAACCTCAATGTCCGCCTCCATCCCTCCTGCCAGAATGAGCCTTCTTGGAGTGCAGCTTGACCCAGTCCCCTGCTCCATTAGAAGACACCACTGCCAACCCTCTTCCATCGTGTTTTTAAAGCTATGAAAGAAATCGGCAGCAATGCTGAGCGTCGGACACATTTTATTGCATTAAAACCCCTCCTGCTCCGCAAGCAGCGCTGCTCCCTGTGCTCAGAAGCACTCGCTTCTTTTCCCTGCCCAACCAGCAGCAAGAAATCCCACACCAGGACCGGTTCACCGCTCAGCAGCAGCGCTGGTCCTCCTCTGAAACGCAGCTACCCCTTCTCGATAAGAGCCAGGAGGTGGCTGAGCGTGGGCAGGATGTGCTCGGGGGGCACCCCCGGCTCCTTGCCCTGCCCGGCAGCCCGGAGCAGAAAGCCGTGCATGCCCACGGCTCGGGCTGCCCTGTAATCCCGGGCATAGTCGTCCCCCACGTGAGCCGCCTGCTGCGGGGGGACCCCGCCGAGGCGCAGGGCCTTCTCGAAGATCCTCCTGTCCGGCTTGGCGAAGCCCACGTCCTCAGAGGTGAGGATGAATTCAAAGTGGTGCCGCAGGTTGCACTGGGAGAGGACGTTTTCCAGCCGGTTATCGAAGTTGGAGACCACCCCCATGCGGAAGCCGCGCTGGCAGCACCGGCTCAGGGTCTCGCCGGCTCCCGGCAGCACCTCCCAGTTGCGGGCACTGCAGAAGTCGCGGTAGAGGTTTTCCGCCATCAGCGTCAGGACTCCGTCTTCGTGCACGCCCGAGAGCCTGAAGGTCTGCTTCACAACGTCGACCCACCACTGCTGGGAGCTCAGCCCCCGGCCCCGGCCGTAGTTGGGGAAGCGCCGGCTCTGGGCTCCGTACGCCTCCCGGAAAGACTGACCGAGAGCCTCCGGCTGCACCCGGACCCCGTGAGCCCGGGCCTCGGCCGCGTAACTCTCCCCCACCGGCCGCCGCCGGCGGCTCCCCCAGCCGCAGCAGCGTGTCCTTCACGTCCCACGTTAGTAAGCGGAGCCTAAGCATGGCTTCAGTAAAGCTCAGGACTAGGGGGAACCTAGAACAAACAGGGAGGTGACAGCCAGATGCTCTGCCGAAAGTGAGTCGGCACGGAGCGTGGCTCACGCCGCGCTGTCAGAGGGGTGTGGGCACCGGCCCTCCGTCCATGTCGCACCCACTGGTGTCAGCAGCCCCCGTGGGGGGCTCAGGCCCCCTCTGGGGTCTGCATCGCGATACGGCGGGGGAGGGAAGGCCCCGCTCCGAGTCCCAGGGTGCAAAGTCTCCA